GGAGGCATGGCATACAGTAGGAGGATGTGGAGAGGTGATATGGTGTGGTTTCTATGATTAAGAACACTGGCAACAAATTCCTCCACTACAAATCAGTCTGATACCACTTCTTACAGGGTTCACGTTTACTAAGGCACTACCCAAAAGGCGCCACAAGAGGGCACTCCAACACAAGAGATGACCTATTTACACTGTAAACACCCCCTACTTAGCCACTACATACTACAGTGATATTACAGTATACAAATTCACACAAATACTATGATTTGGCAGAAATACTATGACTTAGTAGTAATACTATAACATAACAGTTCAATGTTCTTGCACAAATACCACAATATGGCAGAAATACTATGTTTTAGCATAAATACTGTGATTTGGTATAAATACTACGATTTGGCACACATACTATATTCCGCAGATACACTATAACATAACAGATATTCTACGACTTAGTAGTAATACTATAACATAACAGAATTATTAATTGGGAACAAATACCACAATTTGGCAAAAATACTATGATTGGGTACAAATACTATGATTTGGCAATAATACTGCATTTTAACACAACTACTGAGATTTGATTGAAATACTATGATTTTGAAGAAATACTATTACTCCATACAAATACGATGCTTTGGGACAAATACTATGTTTGGGTTCCAATACTATGATGTGCAACAAATACTATGATTTGGCACAAGTACTATGATTTAGTACAAATACTATGATTTGGCAGAAATACTATGCCTTAGTAGTAATACTATAACATAAGAGATATACTATGGTTTTGCAGACAAACCAAGTTTTCTGCACAAATACCATGATTTGGAACAAATGCTATGATTTAGCAGAAATACTAAGATTGGGTACAAATACTATGATTTGGCAATAATACTGCGTTTTAACAACAACTACTGAGATTTGATTGAAATACTATGACTCCATACAAATACGATGCTTTGGCACAAATACTATGATTTGGCAGAAATACTATGACTTAGTAGTAATACTATAACATAACAGATTTCCTAAAAAAACTATGAAATTGCAGTAATTCTATGACTTGGCAGAGATACTACGTTTTAGTACAAATACTATAACAACGCAGAAATACTATGACTTAGTAGTAATACTATAACATAACAGTTCAATGTTCTTGCACAAATGCCACAATATGGCAGAAATACTATGTTTTAGCACAAATACTGTGATTTGGTATAAATACTACGATTTGGCACAAATACTATATTCCGCAGATACACTATAACATAACAGATATTCTACAACTTAGTAGTAATACTATAACATAACAGAATTATTAATTGGGCACAAATACCACAATTTGGCAAAAATACTATGATTTGGCACAAATACAATGACATGGCAAAAATACTATGATTGGGTACAAATACTATGATTTTGCAATAATACTGCGTTTTAACAACAACTACTGAGATTTGATTGAAATACTATGATTTAGAAGAAATACTATGACTCCATACAAATACGATGCTTTGGCACAAATACTATGATTTGGCACAAGTACTATCATTTAGTACAAATAATGTGATTGGGCAGAAGTACTATGTTTCAGTACAAATACTATGATTTGGCAGGAATACTCTGATTTAGCAGAAATACTATGTTTTAACATAAATACTATCTTTTGGCAGAAATTCCTGCTAAAAAGGACTATTTCTGCTTTTTAGCAGAAATACTGTAATTTGGCATAAATACTATAATTTGGTATTAATACTGTGATTTGGCACATATAATATATTCAGCACATATACTATAACATAACAGAAATATTATGATTTGACCCCAAAACCATGATTTTGCACAAATACCATGATTTGGCAAATATACTATGATTTTTCAAAAAATACTATGATTTAGCAGAAGTACTAAGATGTAGAAGAAGTACTTTGCTTTAGCAGAAATACTATGATTGAGGAGTAATACCTAAACATAGGAGAAATATTGATACACAGACACACATACACAGACAGTAAAGGGAACAGGAGCTGTTGAGAGTCTGGGCTTGGTATATGTAGGTCAGTTAAATTAGCTGCACCTGCTGTAGTCAGCCCTTACACACGCAGACACAGAGAGAGGTGTGAGTTTTCTTCAGTGTATTTCTGACATTCAGGATTCCCCTCGAACAAATGGCCATAATTTCCTAACCGTAGAGGCTAGAACGGTCATTCAGACATTGTTTTGTTCAGAAGAGATGGGGGAATCTTCAGGTCTTCATAATTCAGAGATAAAATATAAATTATTAAAGATATATGACTTGTAATACACTGTAACTGAGTAGAGGCGAAGCAAAAACTGCCTTGACTTGCTCTCAAACAACCTTTGGTAACTCTAAATCTATATGGAGCATCAAAATCATTCTTTCACCGTAAGAAACAGCAGGCTTTGGTGAACAGTCATGGAAATTTTCAGGGCTCTGTGGAAATCCATCAAAAAGATATGATGAGAGAAAAAAGTGACTCATTTCCAGAATTTGAAATCTGATGAAATCTGAGCGAGGGACAAATTTCCTACCCTCAAACAAGTCTAACTCATCTCAGAACGGTAATAGGTGAGAAAATAATTCTTGAATTGTGAGCATCAGGAGTGTCTGAAGATATACCGGGACAAGCCTCATGTCTTAACTTCGCTTCGTTAAGGAGATATGACAATTTGAAAATGCCTCTCATTAGAGAAATCCAGCGGTGATTTTGAACAAACTCTCCATTGAGTTTATATGGAGAGTTTTCTGACTTTGTGTTACTCTGAGGAGATTTGCAAAATAACTATGAGTCCCACAACAATGATAGGGACATTTTCTGAAAGCCAGCAAAAATACCTACGTTTTGGTGTATAATCTGTGGGGCTTGAGTGGAAATTGAGCGAGTAGCAAGAAGTTGTTTGGACATGAAGAGAAAATTCAAACAGTTTCACTGTCCCCTCTGAGTTAATTGCATAGCAACCATAGCAACGCATGTATTTTCTGAAAAATCACAATTTTGCAACTGAAGACTTAAAGAGAGATAAGATGAAAACAGTAGAAGATCTGAAAAAACTGAATCATACAGGAATAGCCCAATCATTTGAGAACGTTTTAAAGTTTGAATGGAGTTTCTAGGTGAAAGTATGAGGCAGTAGTTAAGTTTCAAAGACAAGAAAGTTTTAGCAGAATTGTGGAAGTTTCCCATTCATTTCAATGGGACAAATTAAAGGAAAAAAGTGTAATATTTTAAAAAGTATAATAGTAATAAACACCAAAAGTCATAGCCGGCATAAGCAGAAAGAGCAGAACAGTTTAGAGTTTGAACGGTGAAAATAGCACAAAAATTATGGAAGTAGATCCACGGCGAAAAGTGTACGGAAACACCCGGAATAATAAAGAATAAAGAGAAACAGGAACTCAATAGTGTGGATGCCTATCAAGGCATCCACACAATAAAAGGAATATAATAACTCCCTCGGCAGCCAAAGTTGTATCGGCGATGCCCGCTGTGAGTAAACTGTTTCAGCCCACTGTACGCGGTGTTCGTGCCTTGGAGGAGAAATAAAGGTTCGGTAAAGCAGTTTCCTACGCCTCCCTCGATCTTCTTGCTAGCGGAGTTGACCTGTATAGTAAGCTGTTGCCGGCTGCGAGTCAAGTAACTGCCAGAGGTTTCCTTACTACGGTTCGGGGCCGCGGATCTGGCGCGGTAACCAGTGTAACAGTCTGACTCACTATGCAATTCTGTTAAAAGAAACACAGTTGAACCACAAACACAAAGTATCTGAAAACTAAACAAAGCCAGCACTGTGAAAGCCTGTCTAGTTGTCTTCTCCAGTTGTTACCTCGCATATATCAACTATCAAACTGTAAAACCTGTTCTCTGAGACATCTTTTGACTGATCTCTGGCCTTAGCTCTGTACACAAATCACCACACTCCTGAACACAGTATGTTCCTTTTGACAAGGTCTATTATGTGCACACTTGAACTTGTAAGTTTTGTTTGCTAAGAAGTTAAATTATCAGCTAGTGTTTGAAAAACAGTCCAGATTACAAAAGACAATGCTTGTATAACTTTAAGAGGTAATCATCTTGCTTAAGCCTGACCTGCATTTCTGTGTTAATTCCTGTCCCTGCTGACGTCGACGAGCGCACGAAAGACCCAATTGTGACCTGTATGCCACTGAATTTTTGCATGCTTTGTCTATGTGCATGTTTGCTGTAAGCTTCAGTACAGTATGAAAATCACACCTTTCATTTTAATTATTCTTACAGTAATATATTATTCCCAACTCGAAGAGTTCAAGAAATCCAAGACAGTTGCCAATCTTCCCAGGAGCAGACATCCCAGCAAATTCACCGCAAGGTCAGACTGTGCAATGCTCAGAACACAAGAGCTACATCTCAGGCTCTACAGGCCTCAGTTAGCATGTTAAATGTTTACGTTAATGACAGTAAAGTGAGACAAAGACTTGTTTGGAAACTTTCTTCTCGTGCATTGCATTTAACCAAAGCGCAGTACAGCTGGAACAATGTCCTTTAGAAAGATGACAGAGAAAGACACAATTGTGGCCTGCTATACACAACTTTGTGCATGCTTTTTATATGACAGAGAATAAACTTGACACTCAAATAGGTTTAATGTGCAACTTGTGACTGTAAGTTTCCACTTACAGTTAGGTATATTGTTAGCTATATTGTAGCCACATCTGCCCCACAAAATATACCTAAGTCCTGGGCCTTGCCTACGGAAAACTTACCACGGTCATAACAAACATTAATTGCAAAGTGTAATGTTTCATTGCTTGTAGTTACGAGGTAAGCTGTGCTGGAATGTCATAATACAACAAGTGATTATGCGTGTGGTGGTGAGCATTAGGAGTGGATTTACTATTTAATATGACTGAAGAGAAAGCAAATCCTGCTGGCAAATACATACAGGTGTATTTGGCAGGCTTTAAAAAGACTGCACGCACAGAGGTGTAGAAAACCTACCCTTCCTTGTAGTATGTAGAGAGCAAAGAGCTGATATCAGTAGATAAATCTGGAACCTCAGTTTGCTTTCTGGGCGAGGAGGGTGTCGCTGAAAATATTGAAGAAAGAAAAAAAATAGAAGGAACAAAGGAAACAATCATTTGAAATTTTTCAGTTGTAAAACTCTTGGCTGATTATCTTAACTCAATTTCTTACTGGAGATGTTTCAAACTGATAAGTAGTCAACTAGAAGGAATTAAAAGACTGAACAGCATTTTCTTTTTCCTTTTAGAGACATTTTCTTTCTGTGTGACTTGTTTTAGTGATAGGGACGTAGTTTCGAAGAGAATAGTTTGTTATTTAAACACACCCGTATTTAAGGTGCTTCATTTATAACATGTTGTCATTTGGTCTGACTGACATGTTTGTCAGCAGGTGTCTGAGATAATGCAGCTATTCACGTCAACAGTATCTGGTTTGTTCTTTTGTGTCATTGTTCCGTAGTATTATTTGTCTTTTACATCCTGCTATTTACTCAAACTCGTTTGTCAAGGTGTTTCTCCAGCTTTTTACAGATGAAGACTGTCTGAATTCCTGTTATGGAGAGACAGACAAAAAAAACCTGTTCCCTAGTGCGTACTCTACAGCACATCTCCCTTCTGATTGAGGAAAATAGTGTTTCCCTGGTAATTCGACATGATCTGTAAATCACTTTAAAAAATCACTGGGTTTACACAGGTTGCGTAGTCTCATCGGTCCTTATACCCTTTTAAATCGATCACACTTCTTCTATTTTAGGCAGCCATGTGATCCACCTAATTATGTGTCTGTATATAAAAGATAGAAGTAATCTCACAGTCTGTAAAATGAAGTCAAAGTCTCTTAAACGTGCATGCTTTCTAATTACCAGCACAGGGCGACTTCTCTGGTTGCAAAAAAGAGATGAATGAATAGATTTCTATGTGTAAATGATTCTCTTCTTACTTGATTTAAATCCATTAACACCTTTTATAGTCACAGTCTTATTCAATATAGTATGATCATTTTGTAAATCCCAAAAGGTTGATTAGTTCATCTGGAGAAAGTGTTTTCAGTGGGAGAAACGTATTGTCACTCATCCAAGTGACCAACCTTATAAAGAGTACATTGCACAATGACTGAAACTAGCACCACCGAATGAACAATGTGCTGGGAGGTCAGTTCCTTGATGCAAATTCCTATGACCATTGATTAACAACTACTGATCGAAGTCCATTGATCAAAGACCATTGATCAATGGCCATGAGTACCATTCACAGAGACATTGCTACTAGGAGTGGGTTTCAATAATCTATTTATTGATTAAAATTGATTTTAGCTTTAATAAAGCGATATTGATTCATTAAAATCCTGCATCGATTTTTAAATATACATGTATTTTGCCATAAACAGAAGAATCTCAGGTTAAAGCTCAGAAAACTATTTCAAACACCATCAAACAGCTAAAACAGCAAAACAGAACAGGTAAATGGATTCTGCAAAAAGAGGTAGACACAAAGCGCGGACCCGCCGACGCATCAGAATCAGTGAGATGTCAGCTTTCTCACCCTATGTGCCTTCAAGTGAAATGGACGCGGACACACGCCGTCGGGTCTGAAAGCCGACAGCTCACAGCATTTAGTTGTTTAAGAAGAGGGGAAGTTTTAGGAGTGACAGCGGTGTTTTGAGAAGTGAGAGATTTGCAACGTTTAGTGCAAATCTTGTGTAGTTAGTGTGTAGTATAGTCAATAGTTTTGTTGTGTGTGTCAGGGTTTTCGGGAAGAGCCGTGCTGCTCTCTGGCAAGAAGCACCATGCCCTCCCTTTGTTTTAAATGCACTTTACAACAACACGCAGCAACACTACATATGAGTGGGCGGGGCCTCCCTGCTACTGCAGATAAGGAGGTGGTCTGCTTTCCTCCACCCCAGAGAGAAGGGTTGCATCTCCTGGATCCGGGTACGGTTTGCCCCTCTGGGGGCAGGGGTACCCGGAGGACCCCAAAGCGCTTTACACTATATTCAGTCATTCACCCATTCACACACTGATGATGGCAAGCTACATTGTAGCCACAGCTGCCCTGGGGCGCACTTAAAGGTGAAATGTAGCGGGAAAATCAAAAGTAATCAAAAATGGACAATTATACCCTGGACCCCAGAGGGTTAAACTTTTTTTTTAAGTAACGCAATAGTTACTTTTCTAGTAATTAATTACTTTTAGAATCTAGTAACTCAGTTACTAACTCAGTTACTTTTTTTGAAGAAGTAACTAGTAACTATAATAAATTACTTTTTCAAAGTAACTTGCCCAACACTGCTTATTACCCACCAGTCTACTGTTGTGTACAGCGCTGTTGGCCGCTGGTTTTTTAAATGACTTCAGACAAGAAAGCCTAAGAAATGTAAACTTTTTAAAATTACCACAAATCTATGGAGCCCCACAAGGGACTCCATAGATTGCGTGGTACCAATAGGGTACCACGCATGCGCAAATCTTACGTCACTTTCTCTCTTTGCCACCATTACATCAGTTAGAGAAAGGAACTTTTAATGCTTCACCATACCAAGACATTTGGAAAACTTCATGCTCCCAACTTTATGGGAGCAGTTTGGGGATGGCTCCTTCTTGTTCCAACATGACTGCGCACCAGTGCACAAAGAAAGGTTATAGCTGGAAAAGGGTGGACTGATATTATAATAAACCCTATGGATTAAGAATCATATTCATATGCGTGTAATGACAGACAAGTGAATACTTTTGACAATATAGTGTAGGTGTTATATGCCAGTGGCATTTGGCTTGGGCTGAGCTACTAAGCTTATTTGTTTTGCATCACTCTTATGCAACATCATTGTTTTTTAACCTCAAACAACCCTCTGAATATGCTCTTCACAAATAGTAGCGAACCAAAGTCAGAAATAGATCAGATTGGAGTGGATCCTCAACTCTAGCCAGTCGCAACAAAAATATCAACGCTAGCGATATTAGAGACAAATATTTCACCTGTAAGTTGGCAACAAACCAAACACTGGTAAGGAACAGTGCATACTTAATTCATACATCAGGGTGTAGAAATATAAGTCTAAATGCTTATGGAGTTCAGCATCTGAGGATGTGCAACCAGGTAATACCAGATCAGGCTACTGCTAAATTCCTCTTATGCCATGTGGTCAAACAGATTCAGTAAATGTAGCTTCAATCTGTTTTTGATATTAAGTCAAAGTGAAAAAGTCTGTTTTAAAGTCCATCCATCCATCCATCCATCTTCATCCGCTTTATCCGAGCCTGGGTTGCGGGGGCAGCAGCCTAAGCAAAGAGGCCCAGACCTCCCTCTCCCCAGCCACCTCCTCCAGCTTATCCGGGGGAACACCCAGGCGTTCCCAGGCCAGTCAAGAGATATAATCTCTCCAATGTGTCCTGGGTCTGCCCCGGGGCCTCTTCCCAGTGGGACATGCCTGGAACACATCACCCAGGAGGCGCCCAGGGGGCATCCTTGTCAGATTCCCGAACCACCTCAGCTGGCTCCTTTCGATGTGGAGCAGCAGCGGCTCTACTCTGAGCCCCTCCCGGATGGCCGAACTTCTCACCCTATCTCTAAGGGAGAGGCCAGCCACCCTTTGGAGGAAGCTCATTTCTGCCGCTTGTATCTGCGATCTCGTTCTTTCGGTCACTACCCACAGCTCGTGGCCATAGGTGAGGGTAGGGACGTAGATCGACCGGTAAGTTGAGAGCTTCGCTTTTACACTCAGCTCCCTCTTCTCCACAACGGACCGGTGCAGCGTCCGCAATACTGCAGCTGCAGCCCCAATCCGTCTGTCGATCTCCGGCTCCCTTCTCCCATCACTCGCGAACAAGACCCAGAGATACTTGAACTCCTCCACTTGGGGCAGGAACTCATCCCCGACCCGGAGTGGGCACTCCACCCTTTTCCGGCTGAGAACCATGGCCTCAGATTTGGAGGTGCTGATCCTCATTCCCGCTGCTTCACACTCGGCTGCGAACCGTTCCAGTCCGAGCTGGAGGCCCTCACCCGATGAAGCCAACAGAACCACATCATCCGCAAAAATCAGAGATGAGATTCTGAGGCCACCAAAGCGAAAGCCCTCCGCCACTTGGCTGCGCCTAGAAATCCTGTCCATAAAAATTATGAACAGAACTGGAGAGAAAGGGCAGCCCTGGCGGAGACCATCACCCACCGGGAACAAGTCCGACCTATTGCTGTATTGCTGGCAATGCGAACCAAGCTCTTGCAATGGTTGTATAGCGATCGAATGGCCCGTAGCAATGGGCCAGACACCCCATACTCCCGCAACACCTCCCACAGGACAACCCGAGGGACACGGTCGAATGCCTTCTCCAAGTCCACAAAACACATGTAGACTGGTTAGGCAAACTCCCATGCACCCTCAAGTATCCTCGAGAGGATAAAGAGCTGGTCCAGTGTTCCGCGACCAGGACGAAAACCGCATTGTTCCTCCTGTATCCGAGGTTCGTCTAGCGGACGAACTCTCCTTTCCAGAACCCTGGCATAGACTTTCCCAGGGAGGCTGAAGAGTGTGATCCCCCTGTAGTTGGAACACACCCTCCGGTCCCCCTTTCTTAAAGATGGGGACCACCACCCCGGTCTGCCAGTCCACAGGTACTGCCCTTGATCTCCACGCAACATTGCAGAGGCATGTCAACCAGGACAGCCCTACAACGTCCAGAGCCTTCAGGAACTCAGGCGGACCTCATCAACACCAGGGGCTCTGCCACCAAGGAGTTGTTTAACTGCCTCAGTGACCTCACCCCCAGAAATTGGCAGGTCATTCCCCTCATCCCCAGACTCTGCTTCCTCCTCAGAAGACGTGTCAGTGGGATTAAGGAGGTCCTCGAAGTATTCCTTCCACCGCCTGACAATTTTCTCAGTCGACGTCAGCAGCGCTCCGCCAGCACTATACACAGTGCAGGTAGAGCACCGCTTTCCCCTCCTGAGACGCCTGACGGTTTGCCAGAATCTCTTCGAGGCAGTCCGAAAGTCTTTTTCCATGGCCTCTCCGAACTCCTCCCACACCCGAGTTTTTGCTTCAGCCACTGCCCAAGCCGCATTCCGCTTGGCCTGTCGATACCTGTCGGCTGCCTCCGGAGTCCCACAGGCTAACCAAGCCCGATAGGGCTCCTTCTTCATCCTGGTGGCTCCCTTCACCTCTGGTGTCCACCATTTGGTTCGGGGATTACCACCACGGCAGGCACCAACCACCTTGCGGCCGCAGCTCAATGCAGCAACTTCGTCAATGGAGATGCTGAACATGGTCCATTCGGACTCAATGTCCCCAGTCTCCCTCGGAATGCTGTTGAAGCTCTGCCGAAGTTGTCGCGGACTGGGGCGTCTGCTAGACGTTCCCAGCACACCCTCACTACGTGTTTAGGTGCACCAGGTCTGTCCAGCGTCCTCCCCCGCCACCTGATCCAACTCACCACCAGGTGGTGATCAGTTGACAGCTCAACCCCTCTCTTTACCCGAGTGTCCAGAACATATGGTCGCAGGTCTGGTGATACGATTACAAAATCGTTCATCGACCTACAGCCTAGAGCGTCCTGGTGCCACGTGCACTTATGGACACGCTTATGTTCGAACAGGGTGTTCGTTATGGCCAAACTGTGATTAGCACAGAAGTCCAATAACAAAGCACCGCTCAGGTTCAGATCAGGGAGGCCGTTCCTCCCAATCACGCCCCTCCAGGTCTCGCTGTCGTTACCCACGTGAGCATTGAAGTCTCCCAGCAGGACAACAGAGTCTCCAGGTGGAGCACCTTCCAGCACCCCCCCCCCCCCCCCCCCCCCCCCCAGGGACTCTAAGAAGGCTGCCACTCAGCGCATAAGCGCAGATGACTGTCGGGACCCGTTCCCCGACCCTAAGGCGCAGGGAACAAACCCTCTCATCCACCGAGAAAAACCCCAACGTACCGGCAGCAAGCCGAGGGGATATTAGAATACCCACCCCAGCCCGCCGCCTCTCACCAGGGGCAACTCCAGACTGAAACAGAGTCCAGCCCCTCTCCAGGAGACTGATTCCAGAGCCCAAGCCATGCGTAGAGGTGAGCCCGACTATATCTAGCCGGTACCTCTCAACCTCACGCACTAACTCAGGCTCCTTCCCCACCAGAGAGGTGACATTCGATGTCCCTATTGCCAGTCTTGGCAGCCGGGGGTCAGTCCGCCAGGGCCTCCGCTCCTGGCCGCCACCCGGCACACAATGCACCCGACCCCTATGGCGCCTCCTGCGGGTGGTGGGCCTGCGGGAGGATGCGCCCATGTCTCCTCTTCGGGTTGTTTTAAAGTCAATTTAAAATAAACATCCAATGATAAAAAATTAAAGCTGTCAGATGTAGAAATTAAAATCAGTTACTTTTTTGTTGTTGTTGTTTAACCAGGAAGTGAAACACTTGAGAATGAGACTGATCTTGGCCAAGTCAGGCAAACCAAATGACTGGTAAGATAGTTTAAGATTTTAGTTGAACACCATCTCTGGGGCTGTGGCATAAGCTGGCATCACTCAGTCATTGCGCATGTTACTCTACCTATTTCATGGTATAGAGATCCCTGCTTCGTCATTACTGATTTCCTGGAGCTCGGCATTTGTATCTTCATGAGGTTGTCACAGCACTGTTTCCAATGGCCTGCAAAAATAATAATACAAATATTATACAATTATGTAGCAGATGAATAGAAAAGAATTCAATCCAAAATTGACATCAGCAATTATCTTGTCAAATTATTTTGAAATTAGCTGGCAAGCATGTTTGTTATTGCCCTGAATGGGTGTTTAAAAGCATATCAGTAGTATAATTGTTTGCATTGGCTAAAAAGCAATATTTCAGTATTGACCAATATTAAACCAGATTTACATTGTACAGTAATTTCAGTATTCTTGAGCATTGAAAGACATTCTCATCTGATGACACGGTCTTGATTTACCTGCTGGACAAGAGGCAGCGCAGACTGAAGCCACTAAAAAAACAAAAACTCTTAAAACTGCAAGGCATCATCAATCAAGCTTATCTAGACAAAGAGGCCTTTTTTTCATGACGGTGTTGCACTCAGATTTGGCTTGTGTGCACACTGTCTGTGTGCAATTCGAATTAAATAAGCTTATGCTTATTTTCCCTATTTAACATTATTTATCATGTTCATGATTGTTTAACATAATAATATGTAATTTAATCACAATTACATATTAGATGTACAAGGTGCTCTGTCATTGCATCTTTTTTTGCACGTTGCAGCCCACATGATGGTTCTCTGAATACTTTCTTTCAAAACTCGATAAAATTTATAAATAAATCCACACTGACAGATCACTGACAAACAAGAACTCCCTTGTTCACATCAACAAGTGACGTAATGTCACATTCTCCTACTCACAATATCATTGCAGCAACATGTTCTGCAGTTGCCTTATTAAAAGAAGATTACAATGAAGATTAACAGTAATAGCCCTGAGGTATGCAGAATGTATTTTTATTTAGAAACACACCTTTTTTAATGATCATGATTTCTACATGAATGACCTTTCCAAAGAAAGACAGACAGGACTCTCCCTGTGTATGTGGGATTAGTCAAATAAATGTGCTGATGACCCTCCCTGCTTGGTTAATCTGTGAACAAGGCCACATGGACACCTCTAGAAAGAACCCGGGTGACTCCAGGCCTCGTCATTTAATCCAATTAAGCCCTAGACACATCTCATGGAAAATCACCTGATCGCGTGGAGTTCAATGTTGCATCTCTGTTTTGGCTTCTAATTATATGCAGAAGAATTTAGTTGTCTTTTAAGTTTAAATATAGGTTATTGAGTGTACACTGATGGCAGTCTAAAATGAAATAATACAACAAAGTATGTGAACTGTTTGATGCTTCCTCTGTCTACTGATGTGTGAAGAGTCACATACCAAACGGTGTCTATAAACTCAGATAGCGCACTCACTTTGCACGTGAACAAAACCCTTTCAGTTTGACACCAGGAAGAGAGACAAGATAAATCAGAGGGTTATGTCAAGAAGGGCATTTGGTGTAAAATCTATCCCGATTCACCGTGGGCACCCGTTTGGGAAATACCAGTGTAAAGCGTTAAACATCTCACGATGTACAATATTACAAATACACGTCAGCTGGTCTCTTGACTTTCTATAATGTCACTTGCAGCATTGTGGATACAGGTGGAACGATATGTTGATGCAGTAGATAACCCTTACACTCGTCCCCATGTATAGATAAATATGTTATTGCATTTTTTCCCTTTTTTTCCAGATAAGAAACAAACTGAAACACCTTATCAGATTTCAGTTCAACATAAGAGAGATTTTTTCTCCATAACACAAAGTACAAAAAATGTCACGCAAATATATCTGATTCTATGAACAGCATTAATAAATGCAGGTAGGTAGCAGATATCAGCATGTTATATAGAATAATGCTATGTACAGTCGGGTCCATAAATATTGGGACATCGACACAATTCTAACATTTTTGGCTCTATATATGGGGCGATCGTGGCTCAAGAGTTGGGAGTTCGCCTTGTAATCGGAAGGTTGCCGGTTCGAGCCCCGGCTTGGACAGTCTCGGTCGTTGTGTCCTTGGGCAAGACACTTCACCCGTTGCTTACTGGTGGTGGTCAGAGGGCCCGGTGGCGCCAGTGTCCGGCAGCCTCGCCTCTGTCAGTGCGCCCCAGGGTGGCTACAATGTAGCTTGCCGTGAATGTGTGTGTGAATGGGTGGATGACTGGATATGTAAAGCGCTTTGGGGTCCTTAGGGACTAGTAAAGCGCTATATAAATACAGGCCATTTACCATTTATACACCACCACAATGGATTTCAAATGAAACGAACAAGATGTGCTTTAACTGCAGACTGTCAGCTTTTATTTGAGGGTATTTACATCCAAATAAGGTGTAGGAATTACAACAGTTTGCATATGTGCCTCCCACTTGTTAAGGGACCAAAAGTAATGGGACAAAATATGAACCATAAATCAAACTTTCACTTTTTAATACTTGGTTGCAAATCCTTTGCAGTCAATTAAAGCCTGAAGTCTGGAACACATAGGCATCACCAGACACTGCGTTTCATCCCTGGTGATCTCTGCCAGGTCTCTACTGCAACCGTCTTCTGTTCCTGCTTGTTCTTGAGGCATTTTCCCTTCAGTTTTGTCTTCAGCAAGTGAAATGGATGCTCAATCGGATTCAGGTCAGGCAATTGACTTGGCCATTACAAAACAGTCCACTTCTTTTTCTTCAAAAACGTTGGTTGCTTTTGCAGTATGCTTTAAGTCATTGTCCATCTGCACTGTGAAGCGCCGTACAATGAGTTCTGAAGCATTTGGCTGAATATGAGCAGATTTTATTGCCTGAAACACTTCAGAATTCATCGTGCTGCTTTTGTCAACAGTCACATCATCTATAAATACAAAAGAACCAGTTCTACTGGCAGCCATACACGCCCATGCCATGACACTTACACCACCATGCTTCACTGATGAGGTGGTATGCTTAGGATCGTGAGCAGTTCCTTTCGTTCTCCATACTCTTGTCTTCCCATCACTCTGGTACAAGTTGATCTTGGTCTCATCTGTCCATAGGATGTTGTTCCAGAACTGCGAAGACTTTTTTAGATGTCGTTTGGCAAACTCTAATCTAGCCTTCCTGTTTTTGGGGCTCACCAAAGGTTTACATCGTGTGGTGAACCCTCCGTATTCACAATGGTGGAGTCTTCTCTTGATTGTTGACGTTGACACACTTGCACCTACCTCCTGGAGAATGCTCTTGATCTGGCCAACTGTTGTGAAGGGTGTTTTCTTCACCAGGGAAAGGATTCTTCGGTCATCCACTGCAGTTGTTTCCTGGTCTTTTGGTGTTGCTGAGCTCACCAGTGCGTTCCTTCTTTTTGAGAATGTTCCAAACAGTTGTTTTGGCCATTCCTAATGTTTATGCTATCTTTCTGATGGGTTTGTTTTGTTTTTTCAGCATAATCATGGCTTGCTTCACTAATAGTGACAGCTCTTTGGATCTCATCTTGACAGTTGACAGCAACAGATTCCAAAAGCAAATAGCTCACTTGAAATGAACTCTGGACCTTTTATCTGCTCATTGTAATTGGGATAATGAGGGAATAACACACACCTGGCCAAGGAACAGCTGAGAAGCCAATTGTCCCATTACTGTTGGTCCCTTAACAAGTGGGAGGCACATATGCAAACTGTTGTAATTCCTACACCTTATTTGGATGTAAATACCCTCAAATAAAAGCTGACAATCCGCAGTTAAAGCACATCTTGTTCGTTTCATTTGAAATCCATTGTGGTGGTGTATAGAGCCCAAAATGTTAGAATTGTGTCGATGTCCCAATATTTATTGACCTGACTGTAAACCTGATATGTAGCCTCCACCCATTCATAAGAATGGAGACTGAGTTTGATTCAATTTCACTTTGTTTGTCTAGCTCTATTGTATTAAAACACAGGTGTGACTGCAACTATGTTAATCTGTATTTTCTTTTTCAGTCATGCAAAGAAATATGAGGAGGTGGCATACTGTATGTGTTGCATATTTACTGTATGAATCTGCACCCACTGATACAGCAAACCTTGTAATGTGTTAGTTAACCACCAGCTTAAATGCAGAGGCCTGGCTTTGCCTTGAAGCAGCCATTTAGTCTTTCTCCCAGCTTTCCTGCCTTCTCACCATTGTCCTATCAAAATAAAAGCTAAAAAGCATCGCCCAAAAATAAGAATGAAGTTAGAATGAAGCTAATTATGAGTTACTTGATTTCCACGCTGCTACTTTCTGATTTGATTTTCTTTTTGTGCACCTGGAACCTTATCAAAAACAAGATTGTGCATCTTAGAATAATACTTTTACGTTTTGGCAAAGCCCTGCTATAACTTAGCACTAGGCATGAAAACCTACAACATTCTCAGTAATCAGGCCTCAACACGATACTGCAAGCAACTATCAACTATCTTATGTATGCAGACTGAAAAAAAAAGTGGGGAAAACAACTACCGTGGCTCCGCCCAAAGACGATAAAAGTTAATGAAATCATATCGTCACTTTTTCCGTACATCCAATTGAAACCAGAAGTTCTTACAGCCGAGATACACGTGAATACTAATAAACAGACTGTGATATGAGGTTATTTCACCTACCGGTTGCACCTTCTTTGTTTAATGAAGATATAAATGCTGTCTTTTTTGTTTTTAAACTCCTTATGTTTCAAAAAAGCATCATAAAAAATCCAAAGTTGCAACAGAACAACAAATCGTGTGATCAGTTTCAGATGTCTATGGGCTTGTGAACTGTGCTGCACATGTGCTTTTTGGTGCATGCACACCTCCAAAACATTTCATTACAATCATCCTGCAAGTTTGATATCGTATTTTGGGGGATTATGCAAGCTTGGCAGAAGTGTGAACTTTCTTTGTTCAAAGAGTGTTCACACTTGTTGGTTTAGTTTGGTGCACACCCTGTTCTTGTATAAACGTACTCATAATTTCGTTGAAGTAAAAACAGGACAGACCAAACATCCCTGTAACGTCTCCCTTGCAAATCCAGCGTCACTCTGTGTAAAGATTGTGTAAGAAGTTCTGCTGGTAGGTCATGCCAGGGATTTGACTGTCCGTGCTTGTAAAGCCCAAAGAACTTAAAAAAACAAAAAAACAAGCAAAAGAAACAAAGAGTTCATTCAGGCCTCACTCATGCTATAGATGTGCTGACAGAGGGCCTTCCTCCAGTGCTGTGTGTCTTCAAGTGTGTATGTGGTAAGCACATAAGTTATGTCCTCCCCTTGACGTTGTGTATTGATGTATATTTTCTGGCAATTGGCAGGATCTCTGTCAGACATACAGACAACGGTATCCTGGGAGGAAAAACAAAGAATAAGCTGAGACACTGCAGGTAGCCTCAACGCTACAGCTGATCTACTGAAATACCTTTTGTATTACCTAAATGGCTTCATCACAGGCAATAAACTGCTCATCACTGCATTCCATACTGCATTAAAAAGGCTGAATGGTCATTGTTAGCTAATAGAGAGAAATTCCATGGTATGTTTCCATGATGCTCACCTGCAAAAGCTGCCAAGCTTCGTGTTGTGGGTATGCTGCTCTGAGCATACCCACAACACAAAGTCACCATTTAATTGTATCACATGTTAAAATTGAGCTTCTCAAAAACAAGGCTCCCTGAAAATCTCACACGTAAAGAGAAAATCTATACTCAAGTGTTTGCAGTTCAGATTTTCTTCAGTTGAACCTAGTCTGTCTTGTGGTGAGTCTATCCTTGCAACAGTGGTGATTCTGATACACCAACATCTTTTTAAAAAGAGCTCGTAATCTCAGTGTTGTTCCCTGCCGAAACAGAAAATTATTTTTGGTTTTAAAAGGGTAGAAATAAGAGGGGATTCAAGGAGATGCTATCTTTTTTTTTTTATCTCTAGCTTTGAACATACATGACTGATTTTAATTAGAGCTATCTATATAATTTTAAAAAAGCTGTTTTGAACTGTGCAAAATATTTCAGTCTCCTCACCCTTACAACACTTTTCCTCTCCACTAAATAATTCGTCAGTGCACTCTAGTGGCCTTGGTGTGTAATTATAATCAACACTGGCAAAATGCTAAATGAATCACTGCCTTTATTCATCAGACTTTGCTTGTTTAGAACCAACCTTTGTGATTGGAATCTCAAGCAAGGGATTGTCCTCAGACTCCAGGCCTTCTTGACTTTGATAACAGAGAAGGGCTTGCCTCTTGAGGACACCATAGACAGTTTCAGAATAATTACAGTCCTCTTCTGAGCTGAGCTGAGCAAGAGCAGTGAGAAAAGTCATAATGTGAATAATAATGATAAATGAATAACAATATTGAACAATTAAAAAAAAAAATTCTGTCACCTTGATTTTGATTTGGCCACTTATCACTGGCTGAATCATGCACAGAGGCTGAGCAACTAAGCAACAACACATACTTCCGTACAAAGGCAACCAGAATGGATTATCCTCTGGCAAAACATTTAAAAGGATTAGGAATTTTAAAAAGATTCATTATTTATGTATATTTAGATTTTAAGGAGGAGAGAGGAGAGGAAATGACAGGACAGGAGACTCACCTGTCGCTGAAAGTGATAAATCGTGCGTTTTGAAACCTTCCCGGACATGCTCAATTCTCAGGGTTGTGTGAGCCAAAAGGTTGTACTTAGGTCCCCTTGAGAAAGAAAGAACTTTGCACAATCATTCTTTTTTTTTGTTGTTGCTTTTTTTTTCCAAGCGACACCATAAAATGTTTCCTTATAGTGTCATACTCACAGTGCCAACAGGTCAGGTGATAATGTTGGTGGCACGCTTCCGGATCTTACATCTCCACTGGAAATGGATCCACAAACAGCTGCAGACTCGAATGCAGCACGGATCTTTTTCCCAGAGGAGCATCCCAAAGAGCCCCCCAGACGGCTCACTCTCCAGGATCCTATGGCCCCAGGGGAGAATTCATCGACCACGCAACTGCTGTACAGCTCAACGCGAAGCTGAAACCCTGGACTTACCTCGTTGCTGCTCACACAGAGAAAATGCATTTACTTTTTTTTTTTCAACAAAAGCTTGCGAATGTGTTTTTAAGGAGGATGAGAAAGCAGAAACTTAGCTTTCAAACTGAAATAAAAAACACTTGACTCACAATATTATAGTGTCTTCAAAACAGATGTCAGTTAGTGTCCTGTCTACCATCACCAGGTCAGTGTCATGGATCTCTGTGCCACACTGGATCAGGCAGAATACGGCACAGCGATGTAGTTCTGAAAGTAAGAACTTTAGGTAAACACTTGTTATATATTGGGAATGAAGAATATTTTGTGTGTTTAGCCAGTACATAGGGATTTAGTGCACATAGTGTAAACCAAAAAATGCACCAGATGCTATCACATGCTCTTTTTCATTTTGACTTACCTCCTTTGTTTTTGAAGTACTCTGAGTCTTTCCACATGAGGGGGATTCGCAGGTCTAGAGAGTGCACATCATGGTGTTAGAAATGTAAAAGGCTAGTTGAAGTACTTTTAGAAATCTTTTAAAACACACCTGAAAGTGCTACTTTTCCTGTACATGGCACCAGATCGTCAGATGGCCTGCAGTAAATCACGTAGTATGTCAATCAACCACACAGAATAAGGTTAGGTTTGGGGTTGGGGTCCATTTAAACAGTCAGCTTAGCTGAACTCTAATTGCTAGCTAGAGGCATGGATTTTTGCAGAAACATGATTTGTTTCTATTCTATGATACAAGTGTATATTTACATCATCCTCAGTATATAGTTCAATTATCTGACCTGCATCCCACACTTTGTAGGATTTGTACTTTCCTCATCCTCTGTAGTTGGCTGAGCAAGGCCAGAATGCGGGTATTGCAGGTTAGGAGGCTCTTGGAGGCCTCCAGGGCCTGCTCTCTTTGGGAACATGCTGCCAGTAGCTTGCAAGCTCCTTCACGCATGCGTACCTCCCTCTCAATGTGCTGAAGCACTGCAGTATCCTGCCACAGATTTGTGTAAAAGAAAAGACAATGATATCAGAATTCAAAGGGCTACATCTTACATCATTTTAGAACTATGATCTTATGTACATTGTCGAAGATTTTGTGCTATTGACTTTAATTACCAGCTGTTACATAAGAGCTCAGAAGATGTTGGTGCATCACTTTAATCCTTGGATATATAAGCAGTGTCAAGGTTCTTGTTAAAGGTTTGTGTTAACAAGGATGTTTTTGAGAAGTATAAATATAGTAGTGTGTTTCAAGCACAAAGTGCATGTGCAGCAGATTGAATTCCTTCAAGGAATTCTTTATGCACCATCCACTTAGAAGCACATTTCCTAATGAGCTTTTCTCTGTTTGAGAGTACTGGTTTATTACTCCACAATGTGGGCATTACAACATAAAGATCTAAAGTGCACGTGAGTAGACACACATCAGGAAGCATGACTATCAATAGTAAATTTCCTATCATTATGTACTTACTGCTGTTAACTATCAGACCTGTTTGACAAAGAACTCTTATTCACACTCCTCTGAAGTGATTAACAAGTCATCATTTGAGGTGAAGTACAGCTTTAATGATCAGAGGACTGTTGCATAATTCAGTCATGTTTTCTGAGTCTAAGCCTTGTTGGTATGTGTAATTCACTATGAACAGAGCTCAAATAATTAAACAAACTCTAGTTTTAGAGTTGTTTTTCTCCCAGATCTATAAATATGTTTTAGTAATTTAATTTTTCTTTCACATATAGTACAGTGGCAAATGTGTGCATGGAAAATGGGAAATAGGTTAAGCAATTAATTGAAACTTGCAAACATTAATTGAAATATATTATAAAGGCAAAATCATAGTTTGTGTTATTTTATTGAGCTTGAAAGCCAGTATTCGGTATGACCACTTTTATCCTTGATCACAGCCTCGGTTCTCTTAGACAAGCGTTCTTGTAACGTCTTTGTCTTCAGGAATAGCTCTCCGGGCTTCTTGAAGAACAATCAAAGCTTTTCTTTGGATGTGGGCTGCTTTTTGTTCTGTATCAAGATGATCCCACACTGCTTCAAGGATCTTGAAGTCTGGGTTCAGAGGAGGCCAATCCATGACTGACAGCATATCATTATTTGTTTTTGTAAACTAAACTAACTAAAAATGTCAATGTCACAGGCCAGTTTTTGCATTGTTTGGCATAGCTACGGCTTTTCTTCCTGTATTCTCTTCCTTAAGAATTGGTGATTCTTACTCTTTATTTCTGATTAAGTTTCAGTGAGCAGTAGATGGATCATCTGAAGGGCCACCTGCATGTCTCAGGTCCTGTGTCAAGTCTTTGCTTTATTTTATTCCCCCTTTCTTAATGAATGCTGTTTTCTGCTGTAGATAGTTTTTAGGCCTGCAACATCTTCTTTCATGCTCAGCTGGTCCAGTTTCCTCAATTTCTTTGAGGTCACACTTCACACCATGCTAGCTAAATAGTTTTGGCATTCTGATGAGTTTTTGCAACAAGGTGCTAAAAATACCATTTAAAATTGTTTTGGTTTTTTTGATAGGCTGTCTGTTATGCATGGACATCATTCCTTGTTCAGATATTTATAGATCTATGAAGTTAACAATTAAGGTTACATTTTACACCTAGATTTTTAGATATCATCAAAAGTAATGTATCAAATCACTATTTACATTAATCTAAAAGTCAGTCAATATAAAAATAATATGGTTTTACTAACCTGCGTATTATTATTCATCTTCCTTGTGTGCAGGACGTAAGAGGACTGTTCCACCACCGCTGAGTCAGGAAGTACACTGAGCGAACTGATAATCTCATAGCTGAGTGAAACGGCGTTAAGAGTGGACCTGCAGACGGAGCAGTCAGTTGCTCAACAGAGAGATCAAAACAGTCTTAAGCCTCCCTACAAGAGGTTGCAGCATGAGGGATTAAAGTCTCAAACGTTTTAGTCTTTTAGCCATCAGCTCCAGCATAAGTACCACAAACACCTAAATATAGAGCAATTCAAACACGGGCAAACCATAAAATATAAGAGAACTATTTTTGTTCAGAACAATGATACCGTTGGGGAACAACAATAAACAAGGGAACATTGTAAATATGCATCCAGTATCCAAAATTACATGACATATTTGCCAACCTGTTATAGATTATCATGAAATTAATGGCGACACTCAAAATAAACCAGGGCTTGTCAATTAAACACATTTTCGGCTACCTTTGTGGCAAACTAGGGAGAATTACTGCATAGCAATGAGGTGATCCTGAAGTAGTGTGCAGGGCTTCACTCTTGTTAAAATTTACAAAGAACTGGTAAGTAATGGTGAAGTGGTACTTGAGTAATGAGAACTAATCAGCAGCACATGTTGGGGTAACATATAATAGATGATTAGCAGTTTTAATGCCACAAATTATGATTACTTGGGTTTAGCAACTTGTCATTATCTAGTTAGTACAAGGTGCCTGGATCAGCAGTTGTAAGGGAAGTGATGCTCAACATGTTAGCTTACAGTTAGGTCCCAACTCATTCTTAAGCATCTTTGTTATCATTTGCTTTTTTGTTTCATCAGCAGGCTGTAAACCCATTTTCAACAGCAAACTAGCATGCATGTACATTAAGACAAGACAAATCTAGGTGTAATACTTTTTATTCAGATCTTACAGAATTACATCTTTCACTTTCAGTGAGCCAATGTAACCCTTAGGGTAATTTTCTACCCTATGTGTTTTTATGAAACAAGAAGTCAAACGGTGCATAACTGTGTGGTACAGTCACTATTTCAACACTATATATAAACATATTAACATACAGCAGAAACTCTTTGATAGTTTGATTATTCTGTTTTGAATGGGTTCCTTTTTTTTTTTTTAAAACAGAATTTCTGTCTTTATTTTCCACATATGTTACATTTCTAAAGTACACAGAAGAGACATTAAAAAAGGCTTTACACTGAAATGTACAACTGTACATGGTCTTAATCTACCGAACTGTGTTTTTCTTCCTGAGGTCAAAGTCATCTGAAAATTAATCAAGAACGGACAAAAAATATATATATATAAAAAAAAGAAGTTGCTACCATGTACAGTATTTACAAATTCACAGTTGTATCAAAAGGAAGAAAAAAAAATAGGTAAGACATCTGAGGTTTGAAGTATTTTTTATGAAAAATTCAGCAAAAGCTGCCACCACTTCAGTCAAACTATGAGTCACAAATGTTGTTATCCATTTGTACAGTGCTTTAATATTTAAACTAACGGAGGTTTAAAATGTTGTTTCAACAAGCTGATACTCTAGTAAATGTTTGCAAATGTGAAACTGCATTCATCAGTATGGTGAAGAAAGAATTAAAACTAAAAGCAAAAACAACAACAACAACTTTTCAGTTATAAATTATTATTTACAGAAATAAAAATTTGAAAAGCCAACAAATTCCACTTCTTAATCCAACTACGTAGGTGGCTTTTACCCCTCATCCACTTCTGTGAAAATGTTGGTTAAGAAGTACTGAGACACACTGGTGGGCTCCTCTTCAAGAGCACAGCTGTCCACACAGTCATCCTGCTAAGAAGGAACAAAACAGAGCACATCTCCATGTGAGCGTGTATGAATTACACTGAATGGAAAAACAGCTTCAATCCACCTGTAGCTTTCTTACCTCTGTGCACTGTGAAGTGCTAGGATCTGGGCTCCTGGGACTTTGATCACAGGTCTCTCTGATGTTCACTGCTGTTTGTGTTAGCAGTGTAATCGATGCTGGACGGGTTTCTTTTAGTGTCTGTGTCAAGCTTTGTGTGGAAGGGACATCATGTGATGTGGAGGCTACAGGCTCTAGCAAAGACTGTTGTCCTTCAGTCAGTGGCGTTTTAAGCTTAGATCGCTTGGAAACTGGTTTGCTAGGTGGAAGATTTTGTGGAAGGCTGGTTTTCTTTGTTACAGAAAGCGAGGAAAGAGAGCCTTTGGGTTTTCTGTTAGATATTAGGAAAAATTAAACGTTTCTCAATAATTGATAGAAGCCAATGTGAATTTTTTCAAAATGAAACCGTTCTTCACCCACCTCACACGCCTCTGTGAAGTTTGAGCTTCTAAGCTGCTGGTAGTGCCTTTTCCATCTGTCACAATCTCCTCATCACGGCTGCAGCTTCCCCTTTGTGCTTCCATGACAGCATCACTGGCTTTTGGCTCCTGGGTGGTGTTTGTTTGGGTAGGCACTGACTCCGCTGCTTTCATTGACTTGGTCTTGCTGGTTTGTTTTCTCCTCGCTGCATTAGGTTTAACTTGCAGTTTGGCTGGTTGAAAGATTCATACAGGGTGAAAAAGCAACATTTAATGTTCACATTAGAAAAATGTTCACACATTTTTTAAAGTGCATTTGGTGAGTATGTATTTATCCTCTGCATACCTCTTCTTCCAATACTTGTTTGTCTCTGCTTGTTAAGTGCTGCTTCAGGCTCATTATTGTCCACGGCATCTGGAAACTTTGGTGGATTGTCTGTAGTATGTTCTGCTCAATTAAAGCACAAAATTAAAGTTACACAGCATGAATCAGCATGACAATCAGTAGCTTGAAAGTGACAGAATAATGCAGTCACTCTACCCTGTGGATCCACTGTTTTCTGAATGTTATGATCCTGATGGATGGAAAAACACAGCATGTGAAAAAGATTTAAAAAAATAAAAAAATCACATTCTGACCGCCAACAGTTCTTCTTTAGAGCTTTACTTACAATCAGTGTAGATGGGTTCAGCACAGTCTCTTCCACACTGATGAGGCCTGTCACACTCTTTATCTCTTTGAACATGGGCATGGGGACATTAGACAGAGACCCCTCTCCTGCCGCTGCCACACTCTCTCCAGAAACACCACTAAAGGATGAAGAAAGGCACAGAATTAGACACCAAACTAAACAGAGTACATGCTTGCTCACACAGCTAATTGATTAAAAGCAGACAAACCTTGGTTGAGGTATTGATGACTCTGCTACAGAAAGACAAGAGGGGTTCTCAGTTGCACTGTTCACCACCTCCCCTGATGAGGACAGCGGGATCTCAGTCAGAGAGAGGATGAAAAATGGTTCGTCGGGATCTGAAGGCACCTTCTCTGGCAGCACTGAAATTTAAAAAAAGAAAAAAATCAATAAATAATCAAATCAAGAAGAACATTATATAAAGTTTACACAAAACTTAAGTGATATGACTGGAACATAATATATGATTGACTTACTCTCTTGAAATATTGGAAAACTTTGGATGTCGTTTGTACTTAATGTTGATGTATTCTAGGATTAGGAGAATTAGAGAAACATTTAAGGAAACTCAAGAGAGACTTTTTCACTTTAAAACTACTGACTACCGGAGAATACCTCTAACTACCCCTGTTAGAATTGGATATATAATATTAACTTGTATTAATTAGCAAGTCTTGACACAACATTAACAGATTTGATTGCAAAGCTTGTAAAAGGATTAAAGACCAGACAAAACAGAGTCATTATTGAGCTTACCTGGGTAGAAGACACTTGGTTCACAGGAACCAGAGGGACTTCAGAATTACTTGAATGATGGTCATGTTCACTTTGTTGTTCATTAACTTGTGCCAAACATCCAAGAGGAGAGCTGGGATCATTTGGATGGGGATCCTTACTGTCTAAGGTGCCCAGTGCTTTCTCCGAGTCTACAGGTTGAGATGTTACTGAACAGACTTCTACATTTATTGAACAATGTCCTGATGTTAGGTTTTTCTCTGGCAATTTCACAGATTTCTGTGCATCATTATTGTCCCCAGGGTCTTGTGCTGGTGCTATATTTGAGATTGTATCAACATGTTCTGCAGATTTACTGATATCAGCTGGCTGTAGTTTTGTCTGTGTAATTCTAGAGGATGATCCCAAATTGGGTTTCGGTTTGACCTTGGGAAACCGCCGCAATCTTTGTGGGATATTTTGTTCCAAGCTCACTGCGCTTGACATTGGGCCACATACAGCATCTGTCTTTTCCCTCTCTGATGAAGATATTTCCTCTCGGCATTTATTAGAAGAGCCAGATTCCAGTGATGGTTCAGAAACTGAATAAGCATCAGGACTTTTAAATTCATTTGATTTTTCTGGAGAGGTAGGACTGCAAGATGGCTGGGCTTCTGCATCTTTCATTCTGTAGTCACTTGATTCAGACACACAAGTCTGGCTACAGGGTTTTTCCACAACCTGCGTGTGTATAACAGGGTCTTTTGTGGATTTTAAGTTTGACTGCATAGTTCTTGGTGTTTGTGGCAGGTTTGGTTTGGGTTTGATTTTTTGCAATCGACGACTCCTCAACTGAGAAGCAGCTTCACTCTTTTCTTGATTAAGCGGTGACTCTTGAACAGGTGCAACAAGAACAGCCTGGTGGACGCTGCTCTCTTGGGGTGAGGCTGATTCTGCATCACCTGCTTCCCCAGCTTGTGAGACTGTGACTGCTGAGTCAGGTGCTACCACATTTTTACAACTACTCACAGATGTGGTAATACAAGGCATATTTTTTTCTGGATCAGATGCTGACTTTGTCTCGCTGCTGACCTGATCCCTGCTGGGTTCAAATTGTGATGCAGAGAGGTTCACGTTTTCTGAGGCACTCTGATCTGAAGTTGCTGCACCCAAGTCTAGTCTAACATTTGTTAAACTAGACTCCTCATTTGTTGATAGCTCCTCCGAGAGTGTAGGTGTAGAAACTATATTTATTGATGGTTTTAAAACTGAAGCAGGGTCAGCGTTTTCACTCAGTTTTTCGGAGGACAGGGTGCATACTAGTTGTGGTTCCACCTTTGCTGTTGTTTTTTCAGGTGATCTCATGTTTGAAGTTGGGCTTAAGTCCTTCTCTAAAACCGATTTTACAGTTTGAGGTTTAAACCTTGAAATTCTTGAGGACTGTGCTAAATTTGGTTTAGGTTTGACCTTTTGCATTCGACTCCTTCTAGATGGTGAAGGAGTTGTGTCTTTGTTCACTTCTTTTTGCCTGACAGGTAAATCTTCTGGATGTGAAACACATGAAGGTGGTTTCTCGGCGCTCTCTTGACCTGGTTCTGATTCTATGCATGGCTCCTGTTCAACTTTTGAGATCGCCAAGTCTGATGTTGCTGAATTATTGAAAACACTCTTGGCTGTTTCAACACAGGACTGAACTTTTTCCTCTGTGGGCTCAGATGACGACTTTGTGTCATTAGTGACTTGATTCCCTTTGAGATCAAACTCAGATTCCAAGTTCTGGCATTGTGAGGGACCGCAATCCGTTATTACTGCACCTAAGTCCGGTCTACCATCTGTGGTTGTTGGTAAAAGAGTATCTACACTTTCTACATGTTTTTCAGGAGAAGCAGAGCATGATGATCGTGGTTGTTCATCCTCTGTGGTTAAGCATCTTGATTGTTTGCGAGATTTGGGGTCTTGCGTTGGGATGGGGTCTCTCTCTTCAGGCTGCTTTGTGGTTTGGGATTTAGATCTTGCAGTTCTTGATGTCTGTAGCAGATTTGGCTTGGGTTTGAATTTTGGTAATCGACTCCTTCTAGATTGGCAAGTATTTGAGACTTCACTTTCTCCTTTTTCAGTGACAGATAATTCTCCTGCGTGTGTTTCACCCGTAGGTTTATCACTGCTCTCCTTGGCTGGGGACACAATTGAACATAACTCCTCTTCAACCTCTGTGATGAGTGAGTCAGAGTTTGGCGGATCCTTAAAACCAGTCTCAAAAGGTTCAACATGGGAAGCAAGTTTTTCATCTGTGGGCTCAGATAATGACTTTGTCTCTCTCGTGGCCTGATCCCTATGTGGTTCAAATGTAGATTCAGAAAAGCTGTGACTCTGGAACTGGATTTCTGCAACTGATTCAACCCCAACAATATCTGGTTGACTCTCAGATGGCTTTGCTGTTAGTTTAACTTCAGTAGAGGAAATGTCAGCTTTTAGCAATGCTAGAGAACAGTCTTTAATGTTAGCAGATTCTCTGTGGCTTTCTTCAGCTGTCCTTGCTGCAGATATATCTGGTTGGGATTTGGATTGTACAGTCCTGGAGACTCGGCTAAGGTTAGGTTTAGGTTTTATTTTGGAAAAGTGACCTCTCTTAGTTTGTAGAGTATTTTTGTTTGAACTCTCTGGATGTGGCTCATCACTGGTTTTAACTGCCATTTCATCACTGACTGTTTTGCTAACTTGTTGTTCCACAGTCGCCGATGTCTGTGTGACATCATGATCAAATGCAGACACGGAAGGAGTGGCACTTTCTTCCTGTACAGCAGCATCGGAAACAAGCCCTTTTTCTAGGTGGGTGGTTTCATTCACATCAGCTGATGCCGTCCCTGCAGTTAAATATAATGGCACATTTTACATTGACTGTTGCTCAGTCTAACAACAAATGAAACTGTCCATTATAAGGACTCTTTTCTGTCTTTCTAACCTGTTACATGATCTCGTATGTCTACTTGATTCTGTTCCGACTGAGAGACGTGACTCAGGTTTCCGATGGTCAGCAGGGTTTGAGCAGCCTCGTTGTAGCTCTGATCTTCAGATATTGAAATAAAAAGACAAACAAAAAATATGAACTTTAAATCTAAAACTATATATAAAATTCATAAGCAAATAATCATAAAACATCTTCAACATACCTTCTGCATGTTCTGAAGAAATAAATTCTATAACATCCTGCAAAGCAAACACACATATCATAAATAACACCAAAAGCTCTCCTTTCTATTCACAAAAGCTGTTTTACAAAAACATGAAGTACAGTACACTGCTTCATTTACAATATCTTTTCTACATCTGTACACATCTGTACAGATATGTACATCTACAGTTGACTGTATAGCAAATAAAGATGACATTTTAGGCACCTTTCTAATCTTATTGATCACTGAACTGGTTTACTACAAACCACATTGTTATTTATGCATGTTATAATTTTCATCGATCAGGCATAACATTATAACCACAGGCCTAATATTGTGTTAATCCTGCTTTTGCTGCTAAAACAGCCCTGGTCTGTCGAGGCTTGGACTCCAATAGAACGTCTCTAGCTGTACTGTGGTATCTGGCACCAAGATATTAGCAACTTTTAAGTCCTATAAGTTGCAAATTTGGGCTGTCCATGGATCAGACCTGTTTGTCCAGTACATTCCACAGCTGCTTAATTGGACTGCAGTCTGGGGAATCTGGGAGTCAGTCAACACCTCAAACTCCTTGTTGTGCTCCTTGAACCATTCCTGAACCATTTTAGTTTTGTGGCGGGGCGCATTATCATTCCAAATGAGGCCAAATGAAGGTGGTCTGAAACAGTGCTTAGGGAGGTGGTGCATGACAAAGTGACATCCATATGGTTGGCAGGACGCAAGGTTTCCCAGCAGAGTATTGCTCAAAACATCACACTGCCACTGGCGGCTTGCCTTCCCCCCATAGCACATCCTGGTGTTCCCTAAGTAAGAGGCGCAAATGCACCCAACCACGTGACATTAAAAAAAATGTGATTATTTGGACCAGGCCACCTTCTTCTATCAATGGTCTAGTTCTGATGCTCAAGTGGCACTTTCGGTGAAGGACAGGGGTCAGTATGTGAACCCTGGCTTGTCTGTGGTATGCACCTCCATACACTGTGATGCACTGTTTGTTCTGACACCTTTCAATTAGAACCAGCATTAACTTGTTGATATGAGATACTCTAGCTCATCTGTTGGATCGGACCACACAAGCCAGCCTTGGTCATTGGTGGCCAAGGCTCACTGATGCACGTTCCCCACATGCAGCAGTGAGCCTATCAGGACCCTATCGCTGGTTCACCATTCTTCCTTCATTGACTAATACTGCAGACCGAGAAAGTCCCAAAAGAGTCTTGTCAAACTCAAATCCTTTTACATTTTGCCCTCAATTTTTTTTTAACTTTGAGGACAAAATGTTCACTAACCCACCCAGTAACAGGTGCAATGATGAGATAATGAATGTTATTTATTTCACCTGTCTGTGGCCATAATGTTTTGCCTGATTGCTGTGTAAGTAATTCAACCACATACTGAATACATGTATTCAAAACAAAAATGGAAAGACACTGCAGAAAAAAATAAAAGGTTGAACTTACTCAGTTTTGAGCCTTTAATAATAGATAAAATTGTGTTTTCAAGATTAGTGCTCTGGAATGATAATCATTAACCCCAGATCTGTTATTGGGGTTAATGATTTAATTAACTTGGTACTACTTCTTAAGCATAGGTCACTTACAATCAACAGGTCCAACTGATGTTCACATGGTTCAGCTGACCCTGTCTCATGTTGTGCCTGCTCACAAGCAGAATCGGGGCAAAGTGCATCTTGGGAAATGCCCAAAACATCAGGCATAGTGGCCAAGATATCAAGCTACAGGTGGCATAGGAGGAGTCAGAGGAAGATTGGAATGTAAAACCATGCGCAAATAAAAAGTAAAGCAAAACATAAAAATGTTTGTCATGGGAATTATTTCAAAATAAAAAGAATGATTGGTGTTTTAGTGAGGCATGTGATGGAGAAAATGTTTATCATACCTCAGCAATTGTCTCATCCACTTCTTTAATCTCAGGACGAGGAGTGTGCAGGCCGGCAGGCACAAACGCAGGTGCACTGCTGTCTTTACTGGGGCTACCTGCGAGTTCCACCTCCTCCACTTCTTCATCCTGCCATTGATGACTGTCCTCGTCACTAAATTCTGTCTGAGAAGCTGTGAGAGTGACAAGTTTACACTTTTTGGATTTTGGGGCCAAATCATGCTGTGGTAGGATTCTCTTCTTGGCTGCCTGTTGGGATTTTGGTTTAGCAGCAGATGCAGTGGACCCAGCTGCTGAGGCTGGTGTAGTTTCAGATGCAGAGGAGTGTACTTCATCTTTGGCTGGATAAGTCAAGGGCTTGATGGGTTTAGGCACTCTACCACATCTACAAAACAAAATGAAACACTAATAAAAACACTTTATTCATGATCAATAGGAATATTGTTCTTAAATCTATCAGCCCACCAGACAATGTTAGATGACAAGAAACCCTGTATTAACAGTATTGATAATTACAAAAAACATTTTCATATGTTTCTGTAATGGTGAATCCATCAGTGTGTCTAAACTCTTTAATCAAAGTCATTTTTTAAATGCCAAGGAATAATTTTTATTGTAATTCATCAATTTTCAAATTTACCATTTTTACAAAAATGCTGAAAAAAATAGTAAAGCACATTATTATTTTTTTATTAAGATGTCAAATTACAGCTATTTGCTTGCTTTGTGAACAGAAACATTTGTTTGATTGAATTAATTGATTAACTGTTTTGATTAATTGCTAATTTCTCAAAAAAAGTCTAGTGTGCCGGCTGAAATCTGGGAATACAAACATGAATTCAGTTTGAAATCCTTCACTCCTGGACAAATATGCTGAACAAATATTTAATTTTTAGTTTTAAAAAAGTTTATGAGAGATTTCTAAAATATTTGTGCTTCCTTATTTTTATGACAGGTGGCCTAATAAATTTGTTAAGCGCTGGATACAGTGGATACACGGTCAGAATGGGAGTTTTTCAGTAAATTACATTCATGTACCTGGTAGGTCTTGGAGGTTTAACTATGGCATCCTCCTCCTCCCCTTCTGAGGAAATATCATCACCGACTGGCTCCCTGCTGGCTTGGCTTAAAGATGATGCATCTTTATTTACCTACAGTAAGTTTCAGTAAAGCAAAGCCAGTATTCATAAAAAGGTTTCAAGGCTTATAAACAGAAAGTGAAATAACCTTATTACAAGTTCAACCACTTACACTCTCATCTTCTTCATCCAATGAAGTACTTTTAGCTGTTGTACAAGGTGAAGGCTTTTTACTCCATTTGCGGCCTAAAGGCAGTAGTGGTTTTGATGCTCTGCCTCGTGAGAGTTTAGCTGGCTTGATTGCAGTGTCCTTAGCTGTATTTGCATTTTGAGTTTTCTCTGACCTAAACATTTGAAAGAAACTGATTTTAATCGCAGAGATATGTACAAAAAAAATAATATTCACAGCAATATGATTTGAGTGTCATTACGTGTCTGAGTCTGTGTGGTTGTCAGGAAGCTCTGCCTCAGGATCTTCGCATACGCCGTCCTCATCTGAGAATTTAAAAGCAAAATAAAAATGGCGTGGCACTTTAACAAAAGCCAAGAAAACATGGGGAAACGAGTACTGATTTGGGGGGGGAAAAGTTATTACCCTTAATTTTCAGGAAATATTTAAAAAAACAAACAAACAGTTAGACAAAAGGTAGCTACCACGAAATCACCACATACCTACATGTTTTGTAACAACAAAACCGCTCACAGTCCCTGTACCTTGCTCAGTGCTCACTCGTTTGGTTCTCTTGTCATTTGGTTCCTCATCCAGAGCAACTTGTCTGTTCTTTCTTTTGCCTCTTTTTGTCTTAGCGTCAGAAACAGGAATTTCTCCATCATTACAGAGATCCTCATTCTCTTTCTCCCCTTCCTCTTCCTCCTCTTCCAACCCCAGGATCTCTTTCCCATCCTCATCCTCCTCATCTTCCTCCTCCACATCACTCAGTTTCCTTCCCGATTTTTTGGCTGTAGAAGGAATAAGAGCACATAGACTTTTGAATTGGGAAAAGCTAAAGGAGAATTCCCAAATATTCACATACAGCCTACAATGATCACACGAGAAAAGAAATCACGTTGACGTACAGTATCTTACCTTTTGTCTTTCTCTTGCCCTTTTGGGACGATTTCTTCTCAGCCACTGATCTCAGTTTCTTCTTACTTCTCTGATATTCCAAAATCTTTTCTAACAGCTTAGAGAAGTACTCTATGTCCAGTTTGCGCCTCTCTCCTACAAAACAATCATCAGCCAACTTAAATTAAATTTAAGAATGTACACACAGAACGTTAATCATTCGGTTATTTTGATTCCAAAACGTTTGGCAACTGTGTAAAATGTGAAGGGAAAAAAGGGAAAAACATACAATACTGTGAACACTTGGGATTCTATAATTAACTAAACAAAAACACAGAACTTTGTGCGCGTGTGTATTTCCCACTATGCTGCATAATCTCCTCTCTCTCTAGTTATGTTACTAATTAATATTATATTCGTTCTTTTTTTGAAATTTGATATATTGTCTTTTTACCATTTTCAATTAAATATAACCTTTAAATGACATACGTGAATAATTACATTTGAAGATTATTACTAAATACTTACTGATAGCTTTGTCAATCCTCCAAACATTCTCTCGTTCTTCTTTCTTGAATTTGTTCTGAAAGATCAAATTCAAAATTGCAGTTCTGTGTATTTAGTTCAACTTTAAACTCTTTTTTCTTACCATGCATACTTGTATTTATCGCTGACCTTTATCTCTGATCGAGCTCTGTGTGGAAACAGTTGGCAAATCATAGAAAAATCTGTCCCCACCATGCTAACTGCCAGGAAGAACATGTCTGTCTCTGATGAAAACAAATTTAAGAAGAAAAGTCACAAAAAAGGCATCAAAACAAAATAATAAAAACACTTAATATGTTACCATATATGTGGCTTATCTTACCTGATAAGCCACTGTATTATAACCATTCACATGTGAAGTGCACAGCATCGACTGTGTGGTTATAATTTTCTGCATTCAATTAGACACATGCCACACTCTTAACTATTACTGCGGACTGTATATAAAAGATGGCTTCAGGACCTGAAAAGACGAGTCAGTGCAGACAAGCCTTTACCTGCAATAGGTAAAGGCTTCAAAAAAGGACTTTGCTAATCACCAAATTATATACAGTATCTATGTTGCAACAGTCCCTGACAGCAATAGCCTCCTCAGAAGAACAATGCTGCCTGCAACACAACAAAAACTGCTCAAGCAGGACTCAAGGAAAATAAAAAAGAACACAAGGAATTGATCCAACCTAAGAACTCCTCAGATCCCAATCTGATAAAGTATCCGTGGGACGGGGAAACAAGACCCATCACACAACTAGAGCTGGGCGATATGAGATTTTTTCATATCACGATATGTTTTTTTCATTTCAGGCGATAACGATATCTATCACGATATAAGCCAAATAACTATATTTGTAAGATTTAAATGTGCTGTTGCTCACAAGTAAAATGTGAAATAATCAGCAGCTTGTTTTTATTTAAATATTTATTTCCCATAATAAGTTCAACAGGGTAGATGTACTTAAGGAACATGAGACTTTTTCAGATAAATAAAGGCAAATATTGCAAACTACACAAAAGGCAGCCGCTAAAGCGTTTAAGTTTCAAAATAGAACAAACGAAACAGACTACTAAATTGTCGATTCCACTTAGAAACAAAATATTAATTCTAAAAATAAATCTTAGTTTGTTTTACAGAAGAACAGACAAAACTGACTAACTTTTGTCAGTATCAAATAAACTGAGAACTAAAAGGAAATTCTCAATCTCTCCTTGTTGTATAGCTTAGCTTTTCAAACAGTTTTAACAGTTACTTTAGTCTGACAAAAGCCGAATGACGAATTAGCGCTTCCAGTCAGAGACTGAGGCTACGTCCACACGTACACGGGTATTTTTGAAAACTGAGATTTTCCGTTTTCGTTTTAAAAAATAATCCCGTCCACACATAAAGGCAGAAATGAAGGAAAACGCTGCTATGAACATGCCAAAGCAGCAGGTGGCAGTAGATTCCTAACCGTGCAGAAATGTTGGCCAATCAGAAGTCTAGAAGCCTCGGTGGGAAAAAGTAAACAAAGCTGGGGCATAGAAGCAGAACCGAGTCGTATGTGTGGAGGGACAGTAACTGTGTGTATATGTAAGCATTTAAACACTGCAGAGAGTAGAATTAACAGTATTGTAGAAATTCATTTCACCGAAACAATAACGTGGCGCACAGTGTGACGTCAAAAAATGCGCACACCTTTGACGCTGCGTTTTCTCCGTTTTTCTAGTCCACACGTAAATGCAAGTTTACGAGTTTTTAAAAATCTTTGTTTTCAGTGACCAAAAACGCTGTTTACGTGTGGATGAAAGGTGCAAACGCATAGAAAAATCTGCGTTTTCAAAAATACCCGGGTACGTGTGGACGTAGCGCATGCACCAGTTTATTGTATTTCCAGAGTTGCTTTCGGCACAATTTACAGTGCACACTACTCTGTTTTTTGTCAGACTTGAAATAGCCGAAATACCTTCACACTATGGAACTTCTATGGCTCTTCCGTTCGACAATCTCTCCGGCATTGGAACCATCATCTGTTTTCTCTTCGGTAACCTTCGGTCACGCTCGGTTGATTTTTCTAGTCGGCACACTCATTTCCTCCATTACCCGGGCGGTACGGTGGCTGGCTGCTTCCCAAACACATACACATGTGCGGCTTGGCACTTGTGCTGTACGTAACAAGTCACGTGACGTGACGCTGCAGCTGTGATTGGTTCGGCTCTGCGCTACTTAATTTGGATTGGCTGACCTTTTTTATTTTTTAAAGAGGACGAGAGCGGCGAGGTCTATCACGATAGTTGAATTTTTCTATCGAGAAAAAGTTATATCGCGATACATATCGTTATCGTTTTATCGCCCAGCTCTACACACAACTCACGTATTTGTTTCCAATGTCTCGTGCTTTTGCTCTGCAAAGCCAGTGCTGCTTTGCATAAGGTTCCTTTAATATTGTGGCTGTCTCACCTTCGCTGGTCCAGCGTTTTGCATGGTTAAGTTTCCTGAAACTTGAGTAAGTTGTAGTGGAGCCTCGTTCAAAGATGGGGTCTCGATTCTCTGCTGGGTTTGGCCCTTTGGCTCGCTGGACTTCCACAGTTAAGCTGAGAGATAAGATGAAAGGGTTTTAAAAAGCCTATAAATGGTTTGAACGTTCTACAATATCACAATAGGAAAGCAATTATTTTATATGGATGGGGCAAAATAATAATAAAATAATAATAATAATAATAATGCATACTTTATTAATCCCCTGTAGGCCGATTACTCTCTGCATTTAACCCATTGACTCAGTGAAGCAGTGAGCAGCCACCAATCCATCACAACGGTACTTTGCTCAGGGGTACCTCAGAGTAACAGTTCAGTGGATTCGAACCACCGACCTTCCAATCATGGCGCGACCACTTTACCTAATGAGCTATCCCTGCCTGGGGATACAGATCAAATGGTCTACAAATCTCTACTAACCTCTCTTCGTCAATAATCAGTGAGCCATCTTCTGCAACTTTGACTTGAGGAACCATAAGTGCTTCTTCCTGCTCTTCCTCTGCCTCCTCTGCTTCTTCTTCTGTGTTGCCCATGGTATTAGGGGGGATTTCAGGTTCCTGTGCCTGCTCTGGAGACCTTCAAACATTAAAAAAGAAGAAGAAAGAAAATAAAGAAAAATCAATTTATTATAAGCAACTGGTATACAAACTTTCTACACATTCTGAAACGTGCAGCAAGCCACAGCTTTTGAAAGACAAACTGTTTAAAATGCACTGCTGCCTCCACATTTAAGTACGCCAAAAAGTTAAAACACTTAAACCAAGTTCTCTGTTGTATCAGATGTGCAGTCACTTTTCAGTGATTCAAACAGACTGAATTAACACGTTAAACGAATAATGTTTGGCTGGGACAAACTCAATTCTAGTGTTCAACTTTGTTTTGTTTCATTCATATTTTTTTTCATAATACTTTTTGTGATGAAAAACTGTGTTTATGACTCTTTCTTTGAGGAACAACAGATGATCAGCAATTGCACACAGTGAGAACATGGTTCATGTGTGTCCTTCTGCAGCATTAAAAAAAACATAACTTTTTAAACTTAAATATTATAAGAAAATGTGACAAAAAAAGCACGTCAAACATTGAAGTAATTTCCATTTGAATTACAGGCTTAACATAGACAAACCATTTAAAAAAAACATGATTTAAAGAACAGGACAAACATACGCTTCTCTTCCTGGTGAAGGTGGGAGCACAGTCTCATTCTCTTGGGTCAATTCTTCTACACCAGATCTGGAAGAATTTCAAAATTCAGTTTTCTCAAGTAAAATCAGTGTTCGTCAATATAAAACATCATAAGTGAAATATATGGTACATGGACTGGACTGTTCTACAGGAGCGTACTTTATGCAACATATTTCATTCACCCATTTACACACACATTCATAAAAGCACATTTTTGCATCTAAGTGCTTTCTACCTAACATTAACACCGATGAACACATCGGAAGCAACTTGTAGCTGCTTGTCAAGGATACTTTAGCGTGCACAACGGAGCAGTCGAGCATCAAACCACCAACCTTCTGAATAGTAGACAACGTGCCTCCTGCCTGCCTCCTGAACAATGGCCTCCCCCATACTTTAACATCACATAATTACATGAATTTCACAACTTTGCAAGATACTCACGTCATTGGGTTAGACGTTGGAAGATAATGGATAAGGTCCCGCATGGTCATTTTGGCAGGATCTAAATTAAATACCTTCGAAACAGCCTTAGCTTTCTTAAGTTTCTGCAGAATCAAATGACATCACACCTTTCAGTTAACAAATCATGATAAAGCTAACAGTTTATATCTGATGAATACATTATTTAACTCAGACACCTGTGACAAGATGGCTAAAATGCTTAGTTAATGACAAGGACTCACTTTTTCTTTGCGTCTCTCCTCTCTGAGCAAATCTCTGAGCTTCTGAGCCTTCACAAGCCTTTGTACGTCTGATGGGTCATTTAGAAGTCTACTCAGGGAGAGTGCCGATGGTGTCAGTGAAGGCACAGTCTTTGATGATGCAAGTGTTTTGGCTTTCTCCGATAGTTCAGTAGATTCTTTGTCTGGTATGGAGGGTCTATCTGGTGGTCTGGGAGGAGCTTCCTTAACTTGTCTGTCTGAAATGTTCTCTGATTGTTTGCTACTGTCTGCTGGAAGATGGGTTTGTTCTACTGACTGTACAGCTGAGGAAACAGCTGAAGATTCTGAAGCGTCCAAAGAAATGGAGGTGGGTTTAGGTTGAATTTTAGGCAGCTTGCCGTCTTCTGAAGGCCTGCGTCGCCTTGGAGACTGGAGTCCCTTCGGAGTTGCTGTTGTTCCCGTTTGACTGGATGCTTTTGCCTTGTCAAGGCCCGCACCAGAGCAATCAACAGATGTTTGAGAGACTGCTTTGATGGGAGACTTTGGTGTCCGAGAGAGAGCAGAGGGGCGGCCAGGGGCCACTTTAGGCTTAACAGAAAATCGTTTCCTTCTTTGGACAGCCACTGAAGAGCTGGTACCATCCACATTTTGCTCACTGCCATCCCTAAACGGTAGTAAGAAAAGTTATTGTTGTCAAACATAACAAATAGTCTTAAGGCTTCTAAAATAATTCAAAGACACTTTACTTTAAACTCACACTGAAGCTGCAGCTTTTTCTGACAGGGTAATGTCGGACTTATCCGTCAGAGCACTAGCATTGTTGCTGTCCCCAACCTCCCTCTGGGCCTCACTGGCCTCCTGATTTGCTGGAGTTGCTTCCGGAGGTGCTGATCGCCCTGCTGTACTTACATTGGGACGCACACTAAATCTTGACCGACGGAACATTTTGACCTGAAAGCAAAGCTGCATCAGTACTGAACAAATAGCCATGACATCAATCTGCAAATGAAATACTGCTAAACTCCATCTAACGCCCTAATACGCCATCAAAATGTATTCAGGTATTGTAAAGGTGCTCTGGAAATCAACCAAGAAAAGATGCCCTTACAGAACAGCAGTCACAGGTGGGGATCTTTTTCTGCACCAAATCTCGTCTTTACATATAGCTTTTCAAGAAATTATTTGCTAAATAGAAATGAACACATAAATATCTCTCCATGGATGGAGTTCGACACTAATATGCATTTGCTTCGTCTCAGTGTTGACAAAAAGCAGCTTACTCTACTGCAGCTTAGGCATATTTCGCCTACAAAACAATAAACTTCGCCTGCACAAAAAGTATTTAAATGATCTCTTCTTTTACTTAAAAATGCAAAACTCAGCTACTTTGTTTACAGGGCTGGTGACGTCGACAGTCGAGAGGCCGTTAAGTTTGATGGCAAACGCTTTAAAATCACTCGGAAACACCGCCAGACGTGGAATAAGCCAACAAACACAATTTAAACCAGTGAAAATTACGCAAAATGCAATCTTAATGGTGGAGAAAGACTGGGAAAGTGCACAAGCTGGACTCAAACTCGGGTAAAAACAGTTTTAAGCGTGACGCTCTGCATGCGTTGGGTCGCCCGTTTCATGACGTTTTGAAGCTAAGACCGCTTCACTGATATTTTTATCGCGTCCACATCTTTTACTTTACTTGTATTAACGTACCTGACTAAGAATATGTCGTTTTGTGGAAGAAATAAGCCTTCATTTACCGACGAGAAGTGGTAAGTAGCGGACCCAAAGCACACGTTAATCCGCCATGTTTTAGTGACGTAATATTTTCCTGAGTGAAGGGGGTTATGGGAAATGTAGTTGGGTTCAAAGAGTTGGATGAGGTAAGACCGCGATCTCTGTAAGCAATCCTGTCTGCGCTTTACTAATAATAGTAATAACAACAACAACAAAGAAAAAGTAAAAAAGCTTTAGTGTAAAGTATAAAATATGTCTGTATGAAATGTAAGTATAAGAAAATATGTGATTTTAAATTGTGCCTGCCTTCCCTCCACCATGTTTTATCTCCTGAAAATAACCCATTTCTTTTAATTTCTTTGAGAAACAAACTAATATACATATTTAAGTAGCACGGAAATATTTGATTTTTTATGGTGGTTTATCAGGTTATGTTTACATGTAAATGTAGTCTTTAAAAAAAGAAACCAAGATTCCAGAGTACTAACTATTATATAACTATAACTATTAACTGGTTTAGCGCTACCCATTACTATAAACTGATTAAACCGATAGAATAATAACTGGTCAGCCCCATGACTGACTCTAAATCTGTGTAGGATTTATCTGTTTGGTTTAGGTAAACAGGACCTCATACACCGTGCCCAGCAATTTCTATCAAAAGAATTAATCCTTATATCAAAAATATATTGATTCTCATTCAGTTTCCTCTAATTAATCTGATTTAGCTCACTGTTTTCAGAAAGATCTTCTTTTGGTGACTCCGATTATGACAGATTATCCACCTCCACCTTTCCCTAGCATCCTCTTCTGCCACACTAACCTTCTGCGTGTCCCCCTTCACTGCATTCATCAATCTTCTCTTTGTTCTTCCTCTTTTCCTCCTGACTGCTAGCTCCATATTCAACATCTCTTGTTATTCCTCCTCTACACATGTCCAAACCACTTCAATCTTGTCTCTTAAACAGCTCAACCTAAGCTGTCCCTCTGATGTTCTCCTTTCTAATGGTGTCCACTAGGGCTGCCACGATTAGTCAACTAGTCACGATTACGTCGACTGTCAAAATCGTCGACGACTAATTTAATAGTCGACACGTCGTTTGAAGCTTTGTAAGATCCCAAAAGACGCAGGACTAAGTAGTAGGATTTAAGAGTGTAATAACGGACTGAAACAGAAGATGGCAGCACTGCATGTACAAGGATGCCAGCTGCTGTTAAACGCCGAAGAAGAAGAAACTGTCCCAGAATTCATAGCGCCCTGCTCAGTTTCCAACAATGGCGGCACCTAGTTAGTTTTAATATTACTCTTATTATTCTTTCTGGGTCACAAAATAAACGTTTAACATATTTTCAGACGAGAATGTAGCTGTGTAAACCTCAAATATCTGCTCAGTTTATCAAGACACCACATATTTTCAAAAGCGCTCCGACGTTTTCGGAGAGGTCTGTTACCCACTAGCTCGTTAGCTAGCCGGGGTTACAGGCTCACTAGAGCCGGTGAGAACACCGGACTCCCGGCAAATCGTTTTCAAACCCACCGCTGTCGTTCGCTACTTAGGTTAAACATGATATATAAGTCACTTAGATAACTTAAAAATGTTATTGTTTGGCTTTTTTCAGTATTTTATTTGTTCCTGAGTAAATCAGTTTGGCTGAGATTAAAGTTATAGTTTTTACACAGCTGAATAAACGTTAAGCAGACAACTGATTATCAGAAGTGTGAGATGCTCGAGAATATACTCCAGTGTCCTGTTATATTTTAGATAGCAAGGACCAGACGGCTGAGTTTATTAAACTCCACCAAAACAATCTGCAAACTTCATTAAAATTTAATAAACTATCATCTTGTCTTTATTTTTAGTTAGCACATACCTTAAACACTTAAAGCTATAAGCTAATGATAGTTATATAAGAGCAGATGCATGCTGGTGCAATAAGCTGTACGTTTTACATTCAATGGATGCATGTTCTGATTAGTCGACTAATCGCAAAAATAATTGGTGACTAGTCGACTATCAAAATAATCGTTTGTAGCTGGTGCCCTAGTGTCCACTCATGTCACTCCCAGTGAAAATCTTTAGATCTTCAGCTCTGTCGCCTTTTTTTTTTTAGTACCACTGTGTCCAAACCATACATCCAGTGGCGGTACTGGCCTGTTTGGCGCCCTGGGCGAACACTCCCCCCCCCCATACACACACACATATGAAGAGAGAGAGAGTATGCATAGTATGAAAATGGCTAATAAACAGCCATCATAATTCGTCATACAATGAGAATAGGACAAATCAACAATTGACAATGACTAATTAATATTAAAATCTGTAACATGATGTATTGTTTGGAGTTTGGAGTAGTCTGTTACTGTTACTATTTTTACCAATTCTTCTTGGAGCAACTGTAACCCACATAATTTCCTTAGGGAATAATAAAGTATTCTGATTCGGATTGTTTCAGGATGACCTGCCATTATCCAATGTCCTGTATCTTTCGTTTCTCCTCTTCTTCTTTTCTCTTTTTTTGTAAACTGAGCACCTGATGGCTTTGAACTGTTCTTGTCCATCTTGGTTTTAATTTTGCATTCCAGTATGAACACCCATCCCCCAACTCGAGGATCACCACAACATAACCTAATAGACCTACACCTTAGTTCACAGATTCACTTTGTCTAGAGTTTATTTCTGGGATTTCACACAACCCAGTATTCAAATCATGAATACATAATGGGCTTGGATTTACAGCATTATGAATGAAATGTGCTCTATTTGGAAGCAGCCCCCTCTCGATGTGTTGTGTGTGAGACTTTAAATCGTTATTGATCCCTTTACCCCTGGTCCTAAAGTGTATATTTATTTTCTTACATATATTGTTTGTTTACTTGCACTGCTGTAACTGGAGCCTCGTCGTCTCGTCTCTCTGTATACTGGACTGTATGTAGCGGAGATTACAATAAAGTTTACTTTGACATCAGCAGCGAGCAGGCGCACCGAGGGCTCTCGCGCTCACTTTTCGCGTATAGAATTTCGAAAAAACATCGGTGCAAATTATAAGTCTGTATAATGATGTCTGGTGTTTTCGTGTTTGTTGGTTTGTTTTTATTCTATTTTATTTTGGGGGTGGGTTAGACGCTGCTCCAGCCAGCGAGAGAATCCCCCGCCGCCCCGCCCTCTCCTCCTTGTGCCGCAAGCAGCAGGCGCACCTCGCAAACGGAGGGCGCCCTTACTCCCAGCAAATGGGCGATAGAAAACCGATCGGTGCCTATGCCATTCACAATATGTGCTGGCATGACGTCGGGGCAGCATGAGTACAAGCAATTTTTATTTATTTTTTGCTTTGCATGCTTGACCCTAAGTATTTAAACTCATCTACCTTCACTACCTCCCCTCCTTGGAGCTTCACCTTCTGACTTTCATTCTATACCTCCACCCAGGAAGGTTAAATTAAAGTGGAAAGAAAATAGAAGGAGTGACATAATTAGGAGGGGAGAGCTTCAGAAATTCAGGTAAAGCATGGCTACTTTGACCATGAGTCATTGCTTAGTGCTAATAGCTAAAGTGTAGCTTTAGCTTTAGCCACATGGACCAAAAATGTCAGGGCCATTTTTTTTTGTCCCAGTCCAGCCCTGCCTCCATCTCTCCCTTCCACCTGCTCTCAATATAGAGCACAATGTCGTCTGCAAACATTATAATCCACAAACTCCTGCCTGAACTCATCTGTCAGCCTGTCCATCACCACTGCAAACAAAAAGGGGCTCAGAGTGGATCCCTAATTTAATCCCCCCAACTTTGAATGCATCTGTCACTCCAGCTGCACACCTCACCTCTGTCCTCATACATCTCCTGCACCAACTTCCCTTCACTTCCTTATGTAGAAGTGAAACACCACAGTGCTTTCTCTAGACCTACAAGGACACAGTGCAACATCTTCTGACCTTCACTATCAACACTCTGAAAGCTGTAACTCTCTTTCTCGGCATGATGGCATACCACTGCTTGCTGATTGTCAACTCTCTTTTTAACAATTCTTTTCCAAAGCTTTATTTTATGACCTATTAACATTACCTTCTGTAGATGCTACAGCTCTGCACATCACACTTTTTCAAAAGTTAAAACTTGTACCAGTACACTTCCTCTCACTCTTCAGGATTGTGTAAAACAATTTATTCAATGAGTCCACAGTTCTCTCAAATTGGCATCTCTATACTTCCACAGGTAGGTCATCTGGGCCACCTGCCTTTCAAATCTTCATCCACTTCATAGCTGCCCTCACGTACTCCCCACTAATCTTCTGTACTTCCTGTCTTCCTCCCATTTTCTTTATCTGTGCCTCAAAGTACTCTTCTAAATCTTCTCTCGTTACTGGTTAGTACATTTCCATTGCTACCCTAATCCCCCTAACCCGCTGCAAATCCTCTCCAGCTCAACCTCTGCCTAGCCAGTCAATTCAAGTCCTTTCACTCCTTTGTAAGTGTCCAACCTTACATACAAGTCATTATGAATATTTCTACTCCTTTCTTTGCTGTACACCTAGTACAGGAGTACCTAGTCCGAATACCCTTGTCTACTTTCTTCATCTACCTGACTCCCTTTTTCTTTGTCAACCTCTTCTTTTGAATACTTTCCTGTACTTCCCCACTCCACCACTAAGTTTTCTTGTTCTCTTTCCAGAGAATACATCAAACACAGTTTGAATCCACCTCTAATACTCCTGGCTTTGCCTTCCATCTTGGTGTTTCCTAACACACCCTCTCATCTTCCAGCCAACAGTAGCACAGTTTCCACTAACACACAGCTGGCTAACAGTACCAGATTGAGTCACTGTTAACCCAGGCCATTACTGATCTAGTATGAAGATCTCCTTCCTGATGTTTGCTTTGGCAATGACTTCATGCTCGATTCCCTAACTGATGCAGCCCTCACCAATTATCTGGGCTTGGGACTGGGACACTGGCACTAAGAGTACACTGGCTTGTGGCCCCCTTGTGGCTGGGAGAGAAGCAAAAACCAGAGCTTGCACTGTTATTTTGGTTAGATGACCAACATCATTCTGTCCCTCATTGGGTTTGCTGGTTTTTGAGATAC